CCGTGCTAATTTAGAAGGAACTAAATATTTTTCCGTACACTTATATGGTGATGGTCAAAAGTCTGGCAATGAACCATTAGCAAAATTACAATTAAATTGTGATGCTACATATAATGATCTAGTGCATGCAATGCCCAATTCAATACGAAATAAATATACAAATTTTTCTATTGCTCGACGTCCATTAAATTTTGACAAAGATGATACAACAGTTCTATCAGCTGTATGTCGTGCTCGACATGGAAAAACGAAATTTGTTCAATTACCACTATGTATAACAGCACACGAAAAAGCTCGTTACACACATAGTGGTCATATTCTACGTGATCATCTTCCTAATTATTCTTTGCGTGATATTCATCATAAGTTTAGTTCGAAATGCCGAAGTTCATCAATGAAAATTCGTGGTCAATTGGCTGATAATCAAACATTTTCATTTGGAGGTTTATCATTTACATTTCCAAATAATTGTGCTAATGATAATCTTTCAATTGATGTTGATTACATAGTATCACCAGATTTTGATTTATTCGGTTTGCCAACATGTATTTGTCTTTTTAAAACTAAATATCATAATGAAAATACTAAATTAATAGATATGCCAACGGTATTATTTACTGGTGAACCAAACGCACTACTATATAACTGGGTACAACCATCATCTTATTGGTTTTCCTATAGAACAAGACAAACCCGTTTACTCTCAATTGGTGAAATGCATGCTTTTATTCGTCATATTGATGTTATTCCTTCTCTATTAAGTCTTCCTCCCGATATTTTTATTCCAACTGCTACTGGAAAGCCATTTGAAATTCGTAGTAAACCTGTACCTTGTTACTATTTAAAAATTCGTGGACACAATAAAAAAGACTTTCCTCATATTGCTTATCATGGAACAAATATAAAAGCTATAGAATCGATTCTCATGGATGGACTTGTTATGCCAAGTACGGTAGTCTCTATTGGGTTACGTATTTGTCCGCCAGACAATCATATTGCGCGAGGAACATCAGCTTTTAATGTTGACGACTTTTCAAATGCAATATTTGTAACACCAAGTATACACTATTGCTCAGATCCAGTATACGCAGTCACATTTACATATGAGGATGAATGTCTTATACCTGTGTTGGAATGCAGTGTGAAAAATGGCTCATTCAAGACTTATAGAAGTACTGTGAAGGATTATGTTGCTCATCAAGATGATGATATCAACGCCATCGAATGGCGTCTGACAAATCCAGCAGATGTTGAAATCATATCTGTACTCTTCGTTCATGTCATAACATCAAAAAGTGAAGCAGCGCGATTGAGAGCTGAGAAACTCGGTGTTGATCCAACTAGCGTTAAATAATAAATGAACAACAAATATTATTTTTTTAAACTGATTACTTTTTTAAAAATGTTGTATTTATTATTTGATTTGTCTTCTCAAGAATTATAGTGTATTACGTAATTGGGACAAGTTTTTTTGATGGTGTGGATTTGGGTGCAAGTGTGTGATGTGAGTGTGGGTATGGTTGAAGAGGTACTATACACTCCTACCCACACCGAGTTCCGGATTCACTGAAAATTAAATCCAATTTACTTTAGACTTTTTACGGGTGTCGGTGCTGGTGTAGATAGCAGGTGTCGAGTGTTGGATAAGATAGGATCAAGGTACACGCATATTCACACCCGCACTAACAGCACAGAGGCATACACACACCCATAAATCATTTAAAGCAAAATGGATTTCATCTTCAGTGAATCCAGCACTTGGTGTGGGTGGGGGTGGGAGTGAGTGTGTATAGCACTTCTTCAGCCACAACCACATCCACCCACACCCTATTCGACAAATTTCATATAAATAAACGAAAATGAAAATATACAACATAATATAATAAGAATAAAAGGCTCACCAATATACCAAAAGGCTTGAGTATATGTATTACAATATTTACAATGTTGAACAAAAATTTTAAGTACAAGAAAGTCAATTTTTGGTGGACTGACTGAAAATGAAATTCGAGCCGCATTGATGTCCATGCATGTCGACAATAAATATTTGGACATTGAAATTGTGCTTTAGCATTGCCAAGTTTGCGATAGTCAAATTGTAGATTTGCATAGCATTCATCAGCAAGTTCTTCTTCGACGAAAAGATAATAACAAATTTTGCGACATAAAGATAATGGAACTAAAATACATCAAGCAAATTCACCATAAAAAGCTATACTTGTATCAGGTCAAAGATCTTTTTTGTATTATTTGGAATATTTTGAGCAAGTTTGACTGAAGAAAAAAACGAATAGAAAAGGCAATATTCTCCATTGGCGATATCGCCATAGTCTACTTTAATAAAAGAATAAGGAGTTATCATAATTTTTCAGACAAATGAATTATCTATGGAAAACAGTATTCCGATGATATTTGAACTGAATAAAGTAAAATCGACAAATAATTGATCATCGAATCATTTCCAATAGTTTCTATTAATCCATTTATCCTATTCAACTGAGAAACAAGATCCAATCAACTGTACTGTTCATCGTGCGAGTGCATTAGAAACGAGAGAGAGTTTTCCGTTGTACTCTCTTGTCATACTGATCGATTATACACGATTACAATAGGACAGATATTTCGCTGCGTCTATTCAATTGTCATTATCAGTATTTTCTTCATGAGCAATTCTTCTCATTAATACTGTGACATGTTACTCTTCACAACAGTATCTCAAAATGCGTAATTTGGTAGCAGCACAGATAACATCACCATATTCTTGTTAACACACAATGATTCAGCTTATCTGGACCTTAACATTGACTTTGTTGTTTTTTTTTAAGTTGGAGAAAACCAATTGCTGACAGTCAACAAAGAGTGTGGGTGTGGATGTGGATGGTTATTAATAGAACACTTATACACCCACACCCACACCAACACCCACACACCCACACCCACACACCCACACCCACACACCCACACCCACACCCACACCCACGCCCCACACCCACACCCACCCACATCCACCCACCCACACACACACACCCACACTCACCCATACCCACACCTGCCCACACCCACTCTTGCCTTGCTGCACGAGAAACTAGCGGAAGACAGCTCAGATTCCAATGATTTAAAACCAGTCGTATTCGAAAAGACTTTTTGTAAATACTTCTTCTAATATGAGACATCTTTCTTGTCACTCATATTATTCAATAAATAATAAGAGAGAAAAAGAAATGAGACATGACCAACTTGTGAGCCATAAGCAAAAAAGTGAATAAAAATGTGTCAGGATAAGTTGAAAGTGCTCCGAGAGAATCATTCGTATACATATCATTTTTCTTGGTCGGTTATGATTACTGCTAAGATGTAGTGTGTAGGTGGTAGAGGGCTGGGTGTAGTTGTCATGTCCAAACCTATAATCACTCCGAAAAATTTTCTTATGAAATTAGTTCATTACTCTTGAAGCTAAGCTGTAAAGATAAATTGGCTTGTTCGAGCCCCTTATCAAATTCAGGAGTTCTTACATCTCACCAATGTTCTTATTATAGATGAGAAAGCGTCTTGAAAAGTCGAGTTGTTCATCCTAAGTTGTTAAGCTTCGAAAGAACATTCGTACCATCGAACATGTCTTAGTGGATTTTGTGAAAAAGCGTTTGTCGCATGGTTTGGGATTTGCAATTATCAGACAGGCAGTTCTTCTAGGCGTGGCAACTAGAAAGTGAACAGCTATCTTTTACCTCAGAATTGGTTATTGATAGTTATTCTCAGTTCTACTTGATGACGTAGATGAAGAGAGCACCCAAAATCTATCCCGCGTACCCATAGAAACAAAAAGTAGGTAAAAATATTTTTAGACGTTAGCATGATCCTTTTCGCAACAAACTTAAATACAGCAGTGGACAAAATTATAAGAACAGACAGTTTTTTTAGTGTTTTCATTTCATTTGTCTTTACTTTTCATCTGCTCGAAATAGTTCATGTATCTATACATAT